CTCCCATCTACTCATTCGAGTAGCACAGTGACTCTGCAGGAGCAGCAACCGTGCTTAGCTGCCCCCACAGTCACTGCTGCTGGAGACGCTCCCTAATGTTTGGCTGCCCCACTGCTGCTCTACTGCCTCCTGAAGCACGTGCACAGTAGATGTTTGCCTCACAAGTGTGCAAAGATCGCTTGTTGGCAAAAGCACTGAGCATTAGGGAGCCCATGCCAGGAGGAATGACAGGGAGTGCAAGAGCAGCCAATCAGTACCCTGCCTGCTGACAATTCAGCTGTTGCTAGGCAAACAAGGCAATGGAAAATGGAGGTTGAAGTGACCACTTGCCACTAAACTGACTGACCAAAACAGGGAAACCACAGAAAAACATTGTAACCAGCTTCACACATAATGAGAAGCAATGTTGAAATGTGGAAACCTCAGAACAAACCATCGCAAACAAATCAGAACAAATCTCCATGGTGATTCATGGTAAAGAAATGTGTTACGTTTCATCAAGCTTTTGAGAGTCACACAGTAGATGCCATTGCTGCCATGGCTTGTTGTTATGTGTGCATACAGCCACATTAAGCTTAATCCTAGAATTTCTCCCAAAGCACAGCACAAGAATGGATTTTAAGCATGGAGTCTTTAAATAACATACCTCGTTCCTCCTGATCTTTGAAATGCCACCAATACCCTTTGGAAGGGTGATAGCGACAGTAAGACATGGCTTCCTCAAAAGCCGACTGGATTCCATGAACTGCACTGAGCTTGAAAAAAAAAAAACTTTGTAAGAAAGCGTACAAATTCTTTTATAGTACTTTGTTTTAGCCAGCCAAACTAGCCAACTCACATATCCTTTGATATCCTTTATACATATGCAACCCAATAATCTGAGACTTTTATGGGGTAGAATCTCCCTATGGTTTCATACCAATGCTCTATAGAAAAGGGTAAGGAGGAACTAAGAAGAAACATGAAAAGAGATTCTTCACTCAGTAAGGAAAGTATGAGGGTTCAAGAGGAGGGATGGGAACACATGGGGTACTGAGTAGGCAGTCCAAGGACACTCAGGCACTTTCTTTACCACTGCAGAGATTTCACACATCTGTCTTCTTTAGGGGCTGTCTATGGATGCCTTCAACCTTCTGAAGTTAGGCAAGTTGCAACCACTGAGAAGGCCTTTTTCATGATCTTTGAAGGCCATTTATGGAACATAGTCCCCTGGGAGGAGTACTCAAGGTAAGATCTACTGTGTGGAATTTTCCTCCTTAAATATAAAGGCAATACACCATGCAGCAGTTCACAGTTTAATTTTTTTTAAATTAGTAACACACATACATGCTGCAGAAAAAGTGAAGGAGTGTCACTTACAGCTTTCCCCATAATTTAAGGACAAAGGAGCAGGAAACCAGCCAAACCATTGCACTGAAATTCCTGTATTCAAATAGAATACATATCACAGGGACTTACCACTCTAGAGTTTACCACTGACCCCAGGTCTGGAGCCTGATAAATTACTCCAGCAATAATATAATAATCAGCCAATGGAATAACTGCAAAAGAGAAACACAGCATTCATTCAGCTACTGAAACACCCTAAATAAACAGCACCTAGGTTTAACTTGTTTTTCACAAAGCAGCAGTGAGAACTAGTTGACATTCACGTGCTACTTTCTCAAAAGAAGAGAAGGCTATTGGGATTATTATGAAAGGATTATTGCATTTGAGATATGAGTCTTTAGTCATAAACCTATAGGAAAAGCAAAACAAATGGATATAGATTTGGAATCCAGAATAAATGAGGATAAATGCTTTTTTATTATTATTATTATTATTATAACATTTCTATGCCGCCCCTTGCCGAAACCTTCGGCCCCTTGCCGAAACCTTTTCAATTAACTATCAAAGTTATTTTGGCAAGTACATACCTATGATAGTCAAATAGCCTGTTGTAAAGCCTATTATATATATTACAGCCTAACATGCTATAATAACTCTTTTGTACATTGCTAATTCCAAATATCAGTGACAATAAGATTTTCCTGTCATCAGAGGAAATCATGAGGCTTCAGATAGTTAAGTAAACAATCTAGCCTAGTCAAGTAAACCTAGCCACCTAGACAGCCTATAAATACATGAATAAATGAATGAATGCTAAAGATTTTGAAGCAAGGAGATAGACACAGACTTCTTGCATTGGCATAGCCAACATGGATAGCTAACATGACAAGAAATACTTTTTTACCACAAGCGGGCATTCTCTTATTATTACAAAAGGGAAATTATGGTTTTTAGAGCAATGTTTAGGGGAGGAAATGTAAGAATTCTCATTTCTCTCCACCTCTGTTCAAAGAAGCATAACAAGCTGATGGTCCCTTACTAGTGTGACCAAATTATAAGAGCTTCCGATGGATTAGTTCATCAAGGAAGAATACAGGTACAGGATTTAGTAGGCGTGCAAAGACTTCCTGTTCCTTAAGCACCTGAAGGTGCTCTGTGGGGAATAGCTGTGTTGAGCCCTCTGAAGAACCCTTTGTCAGGGCAAGCTGCACCTGCACAGGGAAGGACCATATCCCAGAAATATCTTTATTTGTTGCTTATTCTTAAATGTTCAGTAAAACATTTGTCTAGTTAAATTTGTCGCATTTGCCCCAGAACAAAGTTGCCTATAGCTGCAAAATGATTTATCACTCTTGGCATGAGGCCACTGAGATCATATTGCTCATATACATTGGCTAGTGCAGCACACCAAAGAATTTCAGAAGACAATCAGTCTATGCTTTTTAGACCCCAGCAAAGCTTTTGACTGGGTAGATCACAAGAAGCTATGGATGGTTCTGAAAGAAATGGGTGTGCCTCAGCACCTGATTAGCCTGACACATAACCAATACCATGAACTAGAAGCTACTGTTAGGTCAGAATGTGGTGAAACAAAATTGTTTCCGACACACAAAGCTGTCAGCCAAGGGTGTATTTCATCTCCCTGTTTGTTATAATCTGTAGGCTGGAGTAGGACCAGAGGAAGGAGAAGTGAAAATTGGTAGAAGATACGTCAATAATTTAAGATACAGAGATGATGCCATATTATTGGCAGAAAGCAGCAATGAATTCAAAAAAACTAATGAAAGAAGTACAAAAGCAGGATGGCAGCTAAACATTAAGAAAAACAAAAATCATGACTACAGAAGATTTATATAACTTTACTGTCAACAATGAGGAAATTCAAATTGTAAAAGATGTTGCATATCTTGGCTCAATCATCCATTGAATGCAAGACTGCAACCAAGAAATCTGAAGAAGTCTCTGAGACTTGGGTAGCAATGAAAGAACTAGAAATCATAACCCCTCTGGTGAGAGCCAGTGTGGTGTAGTGATTAAGAGCATGGGACTGGGACTCAGACGATCTGGGTTCTAGTCCCCGCTCAGCCATGGAGCCAACTGGGTGACTTTGGGCCAGTCACAGACTCTCAGCCCAACCTACCTCACAGGATTGTTGTTGTGGAGATAAGATGGAGGAGGAGAATGATGTAAGCTGCCTAGAGCCCTTTGTAGGAAAAAGGCAGGATATAAATCGAAAAATAAATAAATAATCAAGTATATCGACATTTCACCAAAGACCAAGGTCAGGATCACCCACACTATTGTATTCCTGATTACTATCAATTGATGTAAGATAGATAGTGAAGAAAGCTGACAGGAGGAAAAACTGTGTACTTGAAGCACGCTGGAGGAGAGCTTTCAAATACTCTGGAACAATAGAGAAACTAACAAATGGGTCCTAGATTAAATCAAGCCAAAACTTTCCCTGGAAGCAAAAATGATGAAACTGCAGCTGTTGTACTGCAGCACATCATAAGAAGGCAAGATTCACTGGAGTAGACAGTCATACTAGGGAAAATGGAAAGCAGAAGACAAAAGGGACAATCAAATATGAGATGGACCAGTTCCATAAAGGAAGCCACAGCCTTGAATTTACGAAGGCTAAGTTGGTCTGTCAAGGACAGGACATTTTGGAGAGCGTTCTTTCATAGGGTTGCCATAAATCAGAGAGACTTGATAGCACATAAAAGCGTAATTATTTGACCTCTGTCATTTCAAGATGGAACATAAAAAACACCTTGGCCAATAACGTTTCAGAAGGTTGTCTCTACCTGTGTCCATGTATAGCTGTCTGTTGCTGCAATAAGGTAGCTGAGTAAATCCTTACCTTGCGTGGGAGTCTGTCTTTGCTGCTTTCGAATGATAAAGAGAATTGGCTCTTGTGCATGAAGAAGGATATACTCCATTCCAACCATTTGACTGAAAGAAAAAAGAGACAATCTGTACCTGGAGATACAGCTATTAACCGAGTTATTGCAGAGATTAGGGAAGCCAAGAAACAGGACAACTGTCCCACTGAGGGATTAAGAGCCGATGCTCCTCTTAGAAGAAGAGGTCCACTTGAGAAAGTATTCATCTTAAGTATTATAAAATGTGAGTAAGCCCTGCTTTTTCTCACAATGATCATTCAACCAGCCAATTTGTTTTTATTTTTTTGCCATACAAAACAGTTTGCACAGTTACAGAGTTGTGTATCTACTATAAACTAAGTGGTAACAGTTACAATTAGAACTATTTCAGTTCCAGGTTGTAACACAACAAAATATAGAAAAGTCAAGGGAGGAAAGGCACTGAACTTGTCTACTCAGAAGTAAGCACAATTTCAACAAGGTTTACTGTGAAATAAATGTTATGGAATTGAATGCTATGCTAACTGGAGTTGTATAGGATTACATACATCATAAAGTTACTTACTTCAAGTGGTCCAAGGTTAGTCTTTGCATTTTCACCATTTCGTTGTTGCATGTTCTATCATAGAATGGATTACTACGCTCAGAGAAATAGTCTAACACACTCCCACTGTTTAATATTGGAATCCAGGAGCTATCAACCCAGGAAATTCCCAGGAGGTTATCTGGAAAGAGGAGGGAAGAGAAGCAAGAGAAAAAACTAGTTAGCGTAATTACAGCTACAGTACCAACAGATTCACACATTAAAGACTTGTTAAAATGTTTCTAACTAATTACACTTAAGATACTTAAAGCAATTCAGCCAACCTGAAATATTCACCATATTACAGACTATAACGTATGACACTTTACATAAGAAATATAGTCTAACAATATATCTTAACATTTTAACCAAGGCTGACATGCCTTCCTAATTGGAGTTTTAAGTATGGGACAGTATAGAGTAAAATAACGAAAACTACACTGTTTTTTACCTCCCCAAACGATATTGTTTTAAAAAGAACAACCATTCCCTGGTTTTGTAGTCCCAGCTGCAGTATGAAGACACAGGATGTAGGAACTTTGCTGAAGCTAAGCATATCTAGGGCTGGTCAGTGCCAAATGGCCACTACCTAAGAATCCAATATATGAATCCTTGAGTTCCATGGAATAAAGGCAATATGTAAACATAATAACAAAATGATAAATCCCATGAAGCAGACTGTTAAAGATTCAGGACAGATAAAAGGAAGCATTTCACATAGAACGTGGTTAAACTATAGGATTCACTGCCACAGGAAGTAATGATGGCCACCAGTTTAGAGGACTTTAGAAGGGGATTGGACAAATTCATGGAGAAGGCAGCAGCTATCAATGACTACTAGCATTGTTAGCTATGTGCTACCTCTATTATCAGAGATGGTATGCTTGGGTATACCAGTTCTTGAAGAGCTTGGGCAGGCAGTACACTTGTACCCAACCTGCTTGAAAGATCTTGTGAGCAGCTGGTTTGCCAACATGTATACAGAGTGCTGGACTGGATAGACCAATGATCTGGTCCAGTATGGCTCTTCTTGTGTTCTCATTCACAGCACACACTGACTGGTTTGGTTTGGTTTGGTTTTGTTCTGTTTTGTTTTGTTTTTCCATCCTTCCATCTGAAGCACTGTGGACAGCTCTGATTGTTCCATCTCAAAAAGATATATTAGCAGTAGAAAAGATACCAGAAAAAGCCAACAAAATGATTAACAGGTTGGGAGCACTTATCATACTAGAAAATGCTGACAGCCCTCCCCAAAATTGCACCCTCCAGATGTTTTTGATGCATCAATCCCAGCCAGCTTGGCCAATGGTCAGAAATGCCCAGCATGGTAACACCAAACATCTGGAGAGCACCAGGTTGGGAAAGGCAGGCCCACAACATCTGTGATCAGTTTAGGAATCACAGAATATTAAAATAGTAGAGCTTGAAGGGGCCATGAAGGTCGTCAAGTCCATCCCCTTGATGTTGCAGGACACCACATTATACCATCCCACTCAGATGGCTCTCCAGTTTCCTTTTAAATGTCTCTAGTGTGGGAGAGCCCACCACCTCTCTAGGCAGCTGGTTCCACTGTTGTATTGCTCTGACCGTGAGGAAGCTTTTCCTGACGTCCAGCCTGAATCTCGGTTGTCACAACTTGAATTGTGCCAGAGCCAATGTGGTGTAGTGGTTAAGAACGTGGGACTGGGACTCAAGACGATCTGGGTTCTCGTCCCCGCTCAGCCATGGAGCCAACTGAGTGACTTTGGGCCAGTCACAGACTCTCAGCCCAACCTATCTCACAGGGTTGTTGTTGCGGGGATAAGATGGAGGAGGAGAATGATGTAAGCTGCCTTGAGCCCTTTGTAGGAAAAAGGCAGGATATCAATCAATCAATCAATCAATCAATTGATTATTCCGTGTCCTACACTCTGGCATCAGCAAGAAGAGATCCTGACCTTCCTCTTTGTGGCAGCCTTTGAGGTACTTATAGAGGGATACCGTGCCCCCGCCCCCCAGTCTTCTTTTCTCAAGGCTGAACACACCCGGTTCTCTCAGCCTTTCCTCATAGGGCAGTGTTTCTAAATCCTGGATCATTTTGGTTGTCCTCTGCTGGACCCTTTCTAATTTACCTGCATCTTTCTTAAATCTTGGTGCCCAGAACTGGACACACTATTCCAGATAAGGTCTGACTAATGAGGAGTATAGAGGAATAACTACTTCTTGTAATTTTGAAGTAATACTTCTGTTAATGCATCCCAAAATAGCATTTGCCCTTTTGGCGGCTGCATCACATTGTTGGCTCATGTTTAGCCTACTGTCCACAATTACTCCAAGATCTTTTTCTTTTTCAGTTCTGTTGAGCCACACATTCCCCATCTTGTATCGATGCATTTGGTTTCTTTTTCCTAGGTGGAGGACTTGGCACTTGTCCTTATTGAATCTCATTCTGTTGCTTTCAGCCCAGCATTCAAGTTTAGCAAGATTGTCCTGGATCTTCATTCTGTCTTCTAGGGTGTTTGCTATTCCACCCAGATTTGTATCTGCAAATTTGATTATTTTTCCTTGTACTTCCTTGTCTAAATCATTAATAAAGATGTTGGTCACCAGGTATTAGGTGTTTTATAAATATATACATGGCTGAGACATTTTTTTCCTTCTTCTCTCATAATAGTTACAAAATTTCCTAGAAAAAAGGAATAATTTCTTCACATAATGCACCATTAACTTGAAGAACTCACTACCATTAGAGTTCATGGTGGGCACTAGTTTAAAAAGAAGATTTGACAAATTAATGAGGGACAAGTTAGCTATTGTAATTAAATATAATCCTCATGTTCAAAGACAACATACATTTGACTACTGACTGCTGGAAAATATAACAGGCCAGCACTGCTGTAACTTTCACACCCCATTTGGGCAATGGAGTGGGGCACCAGTAGACAAGAAGCTGCACTATGCAGAACCTGAGGAAGCACCTCTTTCCATATATTCCTACCCATCCACTTAGATCTTCAGAAGTCCTTCTCCATGTGCCATCCTCTAGTGAGATCAAGGGGGAAGGGGCTAGGACAGGGGTCGGCAACCTTAAACACTCAAAGAGCCATTTGGACCTGTTTCCCACAGAAAATAAAACACTGGGAGCCACAAAACCCATTTGACATCTAAAATGAAGATAACACTGCATATATCGTGTTTTACCTTTATGCTTTGTATAAAAAAACTATAGTGTGTTGCATTTATGAAATCAATGAATAATGCTTTTATATATTCTCCATCTGTGAGCGGCTTCCCATGCCTGACTATTTCCTGAGCGGCCACAAAACTAGCATATGTAGTTGGATTTGCAGGCTGAATCCACTTCTAGAGATGATTCTTGCTCAGATCAACTTTCCACATCAGTTCCGAAATGGCTTTTTTCCTCTCATCTCCATCCGGATATTTTTCAGCAAAGGCTGTGTGTTTATTCTGGAAATGTCTTGCAACACTCGACTTTTTGTTGTTTGCCAATTTCTCACCACATATTAAGCATACTGGTAAACCAGTCTCATCAGCAGTGAAAGCAAATGAATCTGCCCACATACCATTAAACATTCTGTTTTCTTCTGAAACTTTCCTTTTCTTGGATTTATCCATGGTTGGCCTACTGGGGGTTGAAAAGCTCAATAAATCGCGTGCCGGCAGGTGTCGTGCATTGGCAGTTGTGACGCATATTTTGAACGACAGGGAGCTGCAGCAGAGGGATGAAAGAGCCACATGCAGCTCCAGAGCCGCGGGTTGCTGACCCCTGGGCTAGGAGGAGGGTATTCTCAGCAGTAACACTCAGACTCTGGAATTCACTCCCTAGGGATACATTATGGCTGGCACCAACTCTTCCTTCTTTTGGGAGCCAGGTGAAACCTTTTTTTGTTCAAACAAGCTTTTGATTAATTTTAATATTATATTCTTATATTTTGTTATGGATTACTTACTTCAATTTTTGGTTAATTTATTAGCTCTATTTATTATGGTGCATGTGGCTACATTTCATCATGAGATGTTTATTATTTTATTGTTTTATCTATTTCAATTGTTTATTAATTTGTTTTCATTGTACCCTATGTTTATGTGTGAGATATAAAACCTGGAGTGGCTGACAGTGATATATTTAGTCAGTTTAACATGGGCCTGGAGGAGATGCTACTAGGAAGCAGAGTAACTTGTCCTCCTGTAGATATTCACTGGAAGAAGTCTTTTATTCTGATTCCACTAAAAACAGCATTAGGTACCAGGTAAGCTGCAAGGAAAGTACTCCATTCATGTATGCATAGAATATTCCTTAAACTGCAGCAGCATGGAGGACACATAACAAGGCAATGCTTCTAAGCACTTAAATGCACAACCTTATGGCCTCCCGGCATCATGTGGAAGGCTACTGGATTCTTCAGTCTGATATCCAAGACCCTGCAAGGACTCTGAAGGCTGAGGCCTTCCTCAGCATAGAAAGAACAAAACCAGCTCTCCTCCACCAAGGTTGCAACTGGTACTGGGAGGGGGGTGGGGAAGGATGTGCTGGGAGAAGCTGGAGCCCCAGCCTCATTCTTTCTCCTACCCCAGTTCTAAATTTGTACAGCTGAAAATGGTCAACTACATAAAATGCAACATGCAAGGCAGAACAGTAGAGAACACTTATTTCACTGCATTCCTGTACTGGATGCTCATAAGCCTCCATTTTTGAAGGCTTGTGAGCATTTGCCACAGGGGCAATAGGGCTGCCCTCAAAGAAATCCAGGGAAAGTGGGAGTTGAAGGATCCAGAAGCACAACAATTTCAAACCACAGTGGAAATCACCTACATTTCACAAATCTCTCAATACAGGAAATATTGCAACCTGTATTACAAGGTAAAAGGTATGCAGAAGTGTCAGAAACAACATAAGAATGTGTTTGCACCATTACTGCTTGCAGATGTAGAATTCCCACTGCAAAGGAGGTTTTAAGGTAGATGTCTGCCTGGAGAGGAAGCTCTGAGTGAATAAATAATGCAAACTCAGCTACGATATATGGCTGCATAAAATATGAATACATCATTTCAGAAGTCTTTTAGAAAGCAAAACCTAGATACTTGGAAAACCATGATTAATGCAGCATAAATAGGTCTATGAATAATGCATGTACAGCATCA